TATATATATATATATATATATATATATATATATATATCAACTACATATATATGTAGTATTTTCGCTGAATATGCAAATTTCAGTTATCAGATTTAGCTTTGGTCAATCTTCAAAGAGTTACGAATGTATTTAACAGTCGGTTTATTTTCTATTTTCTCTTTTTAACAAACAAAAAATATATCTATTATATAAAAAAAAATTAAAATAATTTATGGCGTCGATCAGAAGAGTTTTGAGGGCATAAAGAAGCTAGGTCGATAGGTCGATAGAAGTCATAGAATTGGAGGTCTTTGATGTATCCCCACATTCTGAAACATGTGGTGTTGGTGCTGGTGCTTGTGATGGTGGATGCCTCCCGTGGTGCTGCGGTGCAGCTGTGCTCTTAGGTGTTGGAAATTGATAACTATTTAAAGCTGAGGCGGGCCATAGCTCGGGGCGGGTGCATGGCCGATGGGCAATGGTGCCTCCTCGACCGGCGCGGGGATGCTCAAGACTGAGCCTTGGTTAAAGGTTGGACCGGGTGCGGGCTCTGGCACGCTCAGCACGGGTGATGGGGCCGGGAGCGGAGCGCTGTACTGAATCGGGGCAGGAGCAGTGTATTGAGTCTGAACCTGAACGGGAGCGCTGTACTGAATGGGTGCAGGTGCTGGGGCATTGTAAATGGGAAGAGGGGCGGGTGCGGGTGCTGGAACTGAGATGGGTGCACTGTAGATGGGAGCTGGCGCCGGTGCACTGTAGATTGGAGCTGGAGCTGGTGCAGGTGGACCGTAGATTGGAGCTGGAACTGGAGCAGGTACACTGTAAACTGGAGCTGGTGCAGGTGCACTGTAGATTGGAGCTGGTGCGGGTGCAGTGTAAATGGGAGCGGGAGCAGACAGCGAAGAATGCTCGTGAATGACACGCACCACCCTGGCAGGCGCCTGCACAGATGGGCCGACATGGATGTGGTGGCCATTATCGTGGTTCTCATGCAAAACCTTAATGATCTGTGGGCCACTCTCAACGATGGCTCCACCGATCAGAGGGCCAGACTCCTGATGTAAAACCTTGATCACTTTGACAGAGGCGGGTCCACCACCGCCATGGTAGATGGGAGCTGGGCCCAAGCCGCCGCCAGAGATCACCTTTACCTTGTACACCTGTGGTGCGGGTCCGTAGCCATAGCCGCCAGCATAGCCAGCACCGCCGGAGATACCACCTTGCTGATGAATGACTTTAACCACTTGTACGGGTCCATGCCCGTGCAAGCCACCGTGACCGCCACCGTGACCGCCACCGTGGCCGCCACCGTAGCCACCGTAGCCACCGCCATAGCCACCACCGTAACCGCCGTTACCGCCTCCCAGGCTGAGGCCCGACTTGATGCTGCCGCCACCACCACCGCCGCCGCCACCGCCACCTCCGAGCAGTCCCAGAAACCCGGCGTTTGCCACGGCAAAAAGCGCACTCAGACACACAAAGACCTAAAGCAGATCAGATTGAGTACACTTGGTAGGGCTGGTTGAGTATGTGGGATGCTTACCTTCATACTGACGACTATTCCTGCTTGGGATTGACGACTCTAATGCCAAATTCTACGCTATGTGTGCTCTTCAAACACGACTGATGTCAATCCATTGGCCATCGCTCGCTTTTATACGATTCCAAGACGTTGTAACGCACCAGCACGGCAGCAGCATCAGCAGCTGCTGTAACCAATGCTCATGATGAGCTTGATGCTACGAAATTAGCAAAGCAATTTCAGAGCGACGCAACGACGCATCCCAAGCTTTTGAGCTGGCCCAGCCCAGGTCCAAGCAGAGGCAATATCTTGAGGGCTGAGCCAGAGTTAAACAAAAGCATTTCATTAACATTTGCAATGGCCAGGGCCGCATCTCATAAATGGTCTTCATTATCACCATCATCATCTTTGCGCTCATCATAGCTAACATCATCATGATTCAGATCGTGATGATCGAAAATGATGCAAAGTCTGTTTATAAAGAAGCGGGCGCCGCCATCGCCGTCGTCGCCGCTTTCATTTTCATAAGGTCGCACCGCACCCAGTTGGTTCTTCATTTCCATTTCCAGCTCAATATCAATTTAAATTTTCATAACGTTGTCCGATTTCCAGTTTCCAGTTTCGTAAAGCCTTAACCTTAACGTAACGTTGCAACGTCTTTCGGTCTACTCTATGCATTTCCGAAATTCCGAAAGCGACCTCCTCCTAATTAGCATGAAAATGAAGCGACCGTGGAGGCTGTTGCCGTTGCCGTTGACGGCAACTGATAAGACGATGCCTCAAGTATGTGTCTCACACTTCCACTTTGTCTACATATCTCTCTCTCTCTCTCTCTCTCTCTCTCTCTCTCTTTGCCACTCTTTCATACTTCGTTTCTCTATGAATGGATTTGCATATGCGTATTGTTGGTGCTGCAGTGCCTCAAGCGGCGGCTCGCTGTCTAACGCGGCCCACGAGCCAATCGAACACTCTAAATCTAGTCTCAATTTCAAGCCAGCATTTCAAGGTGAATCGTTTGTGTTTGTCAACCCAAAGCCGACATCTCAGTTCCCCAGCGAACAGCTGGTTATGTAAAATTCCAAATCGACAAGCCAGTCATCTAATACACACAACTATTGTTTAATGGTCATAAACCGGCAAACAACATCAGTAATCGCTAATGTATGCCTGTCTGTGTCTGTGTGCGTGTGTTTGCGTGTGTGCATGTGTGAGCGCGAGTATGTTAAATGCGTCCCAATTAGTGTGAGAAACATAGATTACATCAAACATTTGAGGTATGCCTGGCAATTTTCGGCTGCTTTTAGTTATATATACAAAAAAAAAAATAAAAAATAAATAAATGTATGTAGAATAAAATATCCATGTCTACTTAATCTCTAAACTTTATTATAATTGGTATTATTGATCTGCTCTGCGAAATCATGCTAGATTGTGGGCAACTGTAGGGACCTTTTTTTTTTTTTTAAACCCTTCCATTGAGGATGTAATGTGATCCCTCGAGCTTGAAGTAAGTAACCTTACTATTTTCCTAGACAAATACTGTCAAAAGCCTCCGAAATTGTTTTGGAAGACTAGCTACCTTGAACAAGAACTCCAAAAGCAGTGGTTACGACGACATCATTATTGGGATTAGTAAAAGTGAAGATTTCCTTCCTCACTCGAGTTCAATACTATCTATTTCATATTTGTTTTGTCAAGATTTGTACATTCAAGGTGGTCTTCGTGTGTTTCTAATAAATATAAATATATATATGTAAATCATTAATCGAAAAACTTGTTAAGTTCCAGTAAAATATCGAAAACAGAATGTCACCCACCTTGTTCAGTTATCAATAATTTAGTAAGCAATTCGCATGTGTTGAAACACAAAGAATTTTTTGTCTTCTTCACTTTTAATGTATAACGATATATGTAAATGTCTAGAGCGAATCCTATGTTTTCGTTTAAAACTGGGTTTTTTGCATTTAATTTCAAGAATGTACATCTTCCTAGAGGACATTTTCGTTAAGCGAAATACGTGATTAAATATGATATTCTAATTTTTAGAGCTCGATAGTGAAGAATATTTTGGCGATAGTGAAGAACTTTTTTACAACAAGGGACATTGCGAACAGAGATAAACAAAGGCAATAAATATATCGTAGATACATTGCATGCTCCGGAAGAAGATTGCTGGCGAGAGCAACCTCTTTGGGACGAATCTCTCTCGATCTTAGCTATCAGTTGTTATTTGTTAGCTGTTGGGTTATACGCTCCTTAAGAGCATACTCATGATGAGATATGTTTGAACACACTACTATCACATTACCATTGACTTGGCACCAGTCTGTCGTAGTCCATCCAAAATTTTTAAGCACTCATTATCTTTGACTTTACAGATTTCGAATTTATTGACGTATTACATTAACACAAAAAATAAAAAAAAAAAATTGTTCGTAAAACTTTTGCAAGAATCTTGAAGCGTATTCGCCAAGTTGTTCGGTTAATTGGAGTAGGCTTATTTCTTGTGCTTCAGAATTCCACCGTAGGCGAGAGGAACATCGTAGGCGTGTCCAACGCGCAGCAAAGATGGAGATGCAACGTAGGCGGCGCGGTGCACGGGCAACACCGAGTGGACGACGGGCACGGAAACAGAGTCGACGACGGGCACATGACGAACCACGGGCACATTGCGGACCACGGGCACATGACGGACGACGGGCACTTGGGCGTAGCTTGTGCCATAGATGGCGCTGCTCTGGCCAAGAGCTAGGCAGGCGGCGAGCAGCAGACAGGCGAGGAAGAACTGCAAAAAGACGTCCAATGAATACTGTATGTATCCACTTGGCCATCAATCGATGATGGTTGGCTTACCTTCATGTTGATTGGATTACCGACTGATTTGTATTGAAGTGCTCCACCGATTGGTGGCTTTATATAGCGGCAGAAGCAGCCACCGCAGCATCAGCAACTGCCAGAGAACCTTGTGAAAAGTAGATCAGCAAAAACTGGCCGGAGACGTAAATAGAACGGCGGACGTAAAAAAAACCCAATCGAATCGAATGGCGTTATGTAAATTTTCGCTCATATAAAGGAAGGGATTTAGATGTTTGGCATTTTTATTGAAATTGTTGATACTTGTTAAATATCGCGCCGAATGACGTCCATCTGCCCCAATCGGCTTGATGAACGCCCCATTCAATTTGGCAGAACAATGAGAACTTGTTCCTGCACACAGCTTAGTACAATCACAATCTGGCTCCGGCTCCGGCTTCGGCTCCGTCTCTGTCTCCGGCTCGGGCGCCTTGATTAATTCTTTTCATTGTGTAAATTTATCGATCGTAGTTTATGGCAATAAACAATAGTTCGCTCAGACAACTCAAATGCTAATCAATGCCCTCAGCATTAGTTTAGCTTCCCCATATGGTTTCATGCTGCGTTTCCAAAACACTCAATAACAACATTTTTATTTTTATCTTTTTGTTACTTTTGCTTTTGGCGCTTCATTGTCTGACGTCTTTATGCTCCGTTTTCATTGAAGTCTCTCAGCCCCGAGTCTTCGGCAGTGTTGCCTAAAAGTTAGCCTGTAACCAGATAGTTATTCTACAAAATTCAATGTTTACATCTTCTTACAATAATCAAGACTCTATTTTTAATGACTGGCATGATTTCGAAATTCGTGCGATGAAAATATTGAAATAGTTTAAAATTTCGCCTCTTAAAAGAGTTCAACTAGGGTATCTGCTAGTCGTGCAACTGCCAGATTAAGCAATCTTATTTGTTTATATTAAATGGAATTTCAGATAAAACACAAATACAACGTATACACTAAACATTTAGGTTGGTTGCAAGTATTGCATACTTTCGATCGAGCTCGTACGGGAAGTCGCTTATCGTTTGCCATTTTTGGGCGGAATTTCTCTAGTTGATTGCTTTTTGTGTACCCATTGAAGCCATTGTGAATCGAGAATTCTGGGCATAATGATTTTGTTTCCATGCATGTAACGGATAGAAGGGGACGTGGCTTGGACCAAACCCCTATACATTCTGATATGTTTGATAATCCATAGTCGAGTCGTCATAAGTCGATTAAACTTTTTGAGTATATATCAACTATGTAATATATTAATTATCCTAAAGCAATCGCCTCTGTTTATACCCCTTTTCAGCCAAATTTAATAAATAAAGTTCAGGGTGGCTCTTAGTCGGGTTTTTCCATTTAGACAATCTCATATTTGTTTTCTAATGACATGAATGAAAGCATAGCCACAGCAAGTGGTTTTTACTTCACATGTGTGTTGACAAAAGATCTGTTCTATAATGCATAAACATAAATTAGAAATAAGAAATATCGACTCAATTTGTATTCGAAATAGATGCGTGAACTGAAACAAGTTTCTTGTATGTATGTATGCATGTATCTTGCATTAGTAAGAAATATTTCCAATTGCTTTAATGGACCTGGTTTGAAAATAAGTAAATTTTTCAAAAGATTTTGTGTAGAAGTATGGAGCTTGCTTAATCAAGTTTGATTGCTAAGATTAACAAAATAAATTAAAAACAAGTAAGAAAGCTCTAGTCGAGACTGCTCGACTACGAGATCCCCTG